CCAACCAAGGCAACAAATCACCGTTACCGACTGAAGCAACAGACAGGAGCACTCAGCAGTCTTTCATGAAGTCAGACATCAAAAAGTTTTGTAAAAATTTTATATTTTTGTAAAAATATAAAACAATGCTGCCTTTCTCACTTAAATCTATTTGTTGGGGGGATAGTTATTTTTCATCACAAATAATTGTATTTATGTTAACATGTGATGGGCTTATTATTGTTATTTTACAATAAATTACTGAAGATTCAAGCATGCTTTTTTAAAAAAATTAAATTTATTGGGGTAACACATTGGTTAATAAAACTATACAGGGTTCAGGCATACAGTTCTATAATGCATCATCTACATATTGTCCTGTGTGTTCACCACCCCAACTCAAGCATCCTTGCTTCACCATTTATCCCTCTTCACCTCCCACCCCCTCTGTCCCCTGGCAATCACCATATTGTTGTTCTGTGTAGACATGTTTCCAGTTTTCTTTCTAAAATAGGAAATAATGATAGATCGGAACCTTATCAACAAAAGCTCTTTGGGGTCCTCAATTGTGTAAGATCAGAACACAGTCCAGAAACCAGAAAGTGTGAGAAATACTGTCCTAAGAAAATAAACAGACTGATAAACACAGATCTTTAGCCTGGTGTTATATAACGGCAAACACGAAAAGAAAAAAGTGGAAATGACTTACTAGTAAATACCCAATGATAGGGAAGTGGCTAAATAAATGATGGTGCCTCCATTTGGTAGGACATTATGTGGTCATTAAAAATTATGTTTTCCAAGAGTATTTATTGTTGTGGGGAAATGCTCAACACATTCAACATGCCATTAAGTGATTAAAAAAGGGAAGATGCACCCTAGCGTGTTTGCTCAGTGAACAGAGCGTCAGCCCATAGACCGAAGGGTCCCAGGTTCGATTCCGGTCAAGGGCGTGTATCTCGGTTACAGGCTCGATCCCTAGCCCTGGTAGGGGCGCATACAGAAGGCAACCAATCGATGTGTCTCTCACATAAAGGTTTCTCTCTCTCTCTCTCTCTCCTCTCTCTCTCTCTCTCTCTCTCTCTCTCTCTCTCTTTCTCTCTCTCTCTCTCGGTCCCTCTTCCTCCCTTCTATTCTCTCTAAAAATCAATGGAAAATATCCTCTGGTGAGGATTAACAACAACAAAAATAATAATAATAATTAAAAAGGGAAGAAGCAAATTTTCAAGATCATCATTTCTTTTTTTTTTTTTTAAATATATTTTATTGATTTTTCACAGAGAGGAAGGGAGAGAGATAGAGAGTTAGAAACATCGATGAGAGAGAAACATCGATCAGCCGCCTCCTGCACATCTCCCACTGGGGATGTGCCCGCAACCCAGGTACATGCCCTTGACCGGAATCGAACCTGGGACCCTTCAGTCCGCAAGCCGACGCTCTATCCACTGAGCCAAACCGGTTTCGGCTAGAGATCATCATTTCTATAGCGCCTTGATTATCGGAGGAATCAGTGACTGAGGGGGGCCTGGGAAAATCAACAGATACCCCAAGGGGTCCCAGGGACTACAAGCTTACCACATGTATGGAGCTGGGGTCATGCAGGCACTCAGGTATGTACATACGTGTATGCACACACACACACACACACACACACACATGCGCGCCCTTCTTTCCCAGACCATCACTCATTGCTTCTGCCCGTAAAACTCACAGGGAGATCAAAATCCTAAACCAAACATTCCCAGACTCATCCCCACAGCAACAAAGGAGCCTTCTAAATGCCATTCTCCCCAAACTCGATTCGTTTTGTTGCTCTGATTTGGAAACCTGGGCTGACATTTCGGGTGTCTGAGTTCCTAAGCCTTACGTGCTGGAAAATTCGGGTCTCCTCAGCCCCAAACCAAAGACTGGGGGACAGCCAGTGGGGACCTGCCAGGCGTCTTTGGGGGCTTTGCGTGTTCCCGCCGCGGGGACACCGGCTGTTAACGAGTGTCGCCCAACAGCTGCCGCTGACTTGGCTGGTGCATTTATTCTCGCTCTCCTCATTATGGGCGTCTAAATCCCTTCTCATGCCCTACCTCCTTCTGCCCACATCTGTCTGCAATTGGCGCACCACGTGCTGTGGCCAGGGAGGAAGCATCCGATTTAAGACCGTGCGGAATGCCAGGCAGGATGCTCGGGCGGCGGAAGGTGCCCATGCACTGCTTTTCAGGAACACGGCTCACCCTGAGCTCAGCTGGGCACGAGGCCTCTCAGGTCTGGGCCACCCCTGATGGGAATTGGGAGACCAAATCTCCAAGCAGGTCCCAGGAGGTCTGCCAAGCCCCCTCGCAGGCAATAATCACTAAGTATTTGCACTAATGGTTCCAGGCACTGGGCCAACCACTCGATATCTCATTTAATCCTCACAACAACCCTCAGGAGTGGCTACTATTATTAGCCCCAATTACAAGGAAAGCAGGTACTGTTACTGTTACCCTCAGTAAGGGAACTCTGGTTCAGAGAGGTTAAGGCATTTGCCCAAGGTCACAGAGCCAGTAAGCGGACGAGCTGGGATTCAAGCCCAGATCTGATCCCAGAGCCTCCAGGCCCCGTTGCCCCATCTCTCTTGTCCAGGATTAGAAGACGCAGTGTGCGGTGCAGTGGGAAAAGTGCCTCATTCGGGTGTCTCCCTCTGTCAAAGGGGGTTCCCACCTCCCGGCAGGACTGGGGTGAGTGGTAGGTCAAGCGCTGAGAACAGTGCTGGCCCACAGTAGGTGCTTGATAAAGCGTTCCTTTAGTGAACGCTGACAAGTCCTGGCTGATGAGACCTTGGTGGCAGGCAAGAAATCCACGCACAGAGTCTGGGAGAAACGCCTGCCTGGCGCTACCAGCCAGCTCTCACCGCGGGAGCAAGCACGGCGCCGTCACCTTCACAGACATCGCGTCATTTAGTTCACCGACTGTCCTGGGTTTGGAGAGGGCAGCTGTCTGTCCCAGGGGCTGGGGGTGGGTACCTGAGCCTCTGCTCACTTCCCTGTCAGCTCCTTTGGGCCCCAAGGGGCAGCTGAGAGGTTTGTCCACCCCCCACACGTCCTGAGGGCAGATATGGGTGAGAATTCCATCCCTGGCCAAGGACAGGGAGGGCAGGTTTATGGTCCCGGCAATAAATACTTGGCAAAGGTGGTTGAGATGGCTGCTTCCCGAGACAGTCCTGACTCTCCTCAGGTTCTCAACAAAGCTTAGCGAGGTCCTCGGCTCCCACCACCGGGGCCTGAGGCACCTCCTGGGGGCATCGCTGGGACTGGGCCTGTCCTGGGCAGGGAAGTGGGAAGCTGGGAGGGAGGGCGGCTCCCGCAGATCTATCGGCCTGGATGCTGGATGGTTGCCCACAGAGAGCATGCGTGCTTGGCACCGGACTTCCCGGCCATGCAGCGCCAGCTGGACCGTGACACAGGCCACCTGCCCACCACGGCCCGAGGAGACCACCCAGCACGCTGTCTCAGTGACCCCACGGGAACTCAACCCCAGCAGAAAGGGGCCTCCCTGCCTCTAACAGTGATTTGTTTTGCTGAAAGAACGCACACATTCAGTGCTGAAACATCTGGGTAAGGAGTCAGCCTCGAGGACGTTTTCCCAGACTCCCCCGGGGGATGGTCGGTGGGTGCTGGATGCACAGCCTGCTTGGCCCGTGTGCGGGCGCTTGCTGCTCACCTCTCCCCTCTGGTCAGGGAGACCCGCAATGACAGAGCCCACTAACTGCCCAGCAAAATCCACTCCCCTCCTTGCCCTCCACCAGTTAGCCGTGTGGCCTGGACGGGGACGTCCAGCTGGAAATGACATGGCCCAGCAGCCCCTGCAGCCCGGCCTCGCGACCAGTGCTGCCGGAGGGAACCTCTGGCCCTCAGTTCTGGCTCTTCCCCTGGGTTTCTCCCAGGTTGGGGAGCAGAGGCGCCCCCCACCCTGAAAGGCTCCTCAGATGGTTATAGGAGAGACAAATAGATTCGTTAAGTCCCTCTTTTGGGGTTTCTGCTACAGCAGCCCGGAATCAATCTGAGTAATTAACCTGCTTTGGCTTCAAAAATAAAGTCCTCAGAGAGTATTTATGGTTCTGGTAACTGGTAAGTGGAGAGCAGGCTGCAAGTTTTATTGCCTTGTTTTCCCCCAGGAGAAAGGGAGACACCTGGGGAGAACACGCAGATGGAGGCAGACCCCTCCCCCCCCCCCCCCCGCCCCTCTCTCCCCCAGTGCTCGTGCGGAGAGCTTGGAGCCCTGTCTGGGGAGGGCTTCCCCTTTCTCAAAAACCTTGAGACCCCTCCCCACCACAGAGTGTGCAGGGGCTGCTAGAGAGACTGGCACGCAGCTGCTGGCACCCCGGCAGCTCCAAGGAGAGCAGGCTGACCACGTGGGCCCACTGGCCTCCTCGTTTCCTACAGCAGCTGCTGGTTACGGGTCAAGGTCCCTCCTGGCAAGAGACCACCTGGGCACTGACGCCACATCTCTCCCAACCCCTCCACCTGCCCAGGGCTGGAGGCTGCCCCGCTCAAGAGGACCTCCAGGCAACTCGAGAGGAGGACCGAGCCCCGCCTGGGAGGGCCACCGTGGTGGGTGAAGTGCAGGGGACCGGCCCGCCTCCAGCAGAGAACCCAGGACACACGCGCACTGTCCAGGGAGGGGAGGTGCCGAAGGGCCCCGAGGATGCTGGCCAAGAGGAGACCCCCTGCTGGGTCAGCACCTGGTTCAGCAAAGATGCCCACCCACCTGCCATACACGCTTCGGGGGAAGTCGTCCCACGACCGGCCAGGATGGGGAACAGTGGTGGTCACAACGGGAGGAAGGGATGACATATGTGCCCAGTTCTGCAAGAGGCAGCTTTCCACCCCAACAGGCACAGGGCAGCCGCGGCTGGGGGTTCGGGCACTGGGACCCCGTATTCACGTCACTCCCCCCGCAGAGGCTGGACCCCGGTTCCCCAGAGCCCCTGTGGCCTGCGCCCCAGCCCCAGGCGAGGGAAGGAGGGGCCACGCCGCCTCGTCACTCACCCTGCAAGGCCTCTTTGGCTCTGGCCAGCTCCTGCTCCTTCTGGGCCAGCTGCACCCTGAGCTCGGTGGCCGAGAGGACCTCGGCGGACTTGCCGCCCTGCGACTCCTCCAGGTCCTTCGTCAGCATCTCCTTCATCTGCCGGAGCAGGTGGACTTCCTCCTGCAGCCGGGACACCTCTTCCCGCAGCAGCCCTAGGGGAGAGGCACAGGTTAGAGGACGGGCCGCTCGCTCGCTCGCTCAGGCCGCCCCCTCTTTCTGGGGAAGGTTCCAAGGTGCTTGGGCTTTCCCTGTTTGCTCTGCCTTCCGGGCCTTTCCTCCATGTGAGCAAACAGAAACCCCCAAAGCCACTATCTTTTCCAAAGGACCGGGATCCGGTCCTGGGCCCACCCCCAGCCTGCAGAGCGCTCCTGGTGGGACCCCCACACCCCACATACTCTCTAGGGCTCCACAGCTGCTCCACTGCAATGGCCGGCGGCCTCCACCCTCCCAGGGAGGAGCAAGAGGGGCCTGAGAGGGGCGGGAGCCAGCAGCGCGCGCAGGTGAGCGGAATACGCGTGATCCACTGAATCCCACCAACACCTCCCGAGGCAGGCACCGTCCTAGCCCCCACCTCACAGATTAGGAAGTTGAGGCTCCACAGATTAAACAGCTCCAGGAGGTGACAGTTGGCAGGTAGCAGAGCTGGGATGTGAAGCCAGGCCTGGCCGACGCCAGGGCCTGAGGCCCCAGCCTGACATCCGGGAACCCGCCCTAAAAAGGCTCACTCAACACGTCTCATAAAACACCTCGCCACCAGGAGCCCCGAAGAAACAGGACGTGGGCCCTCGCACCGGAGGGTGCAGGGAAACGGGTGCTCAGGAGCGGTACCCACGGCAACACCGGGGGCGGAGGGTCTGCTGCACGAAACCCAACCCTACATGCCGAGCGCCCGGCACGAGACCAAGGAGCGCGCAGCGTCCCTCGGCCTGGAGCCTGGGGACGGTACCAGGTGCCCCTTTGTCCCGCAGGAGCCCTCAGCCAGCTCCGGCCTGCGGGCTGACCGACACCCACACGCGGGTCTGCTGCCCTGAGCCAGAGACACCGCGCTGCAGGGGTGCCGCACGCAGGGGTAAGCGGCCTTGCTGGGCGGCACACACCTCGGCAACGCTAACCCTCAACAGAGCGCACACTCGTGGCCACAATGCTCACCTCACGGAGTAAAGGAGGTCCGGCCCTTGTAGCAGGTCCGGGACCCTAGCCTCCGACTACACCACGTACTCAACCACCGCTCTGTCCCCTTCCCCAGCCTCCGCCACCCTGGCTCTCGCCCTGCAACGTGCCAAACGCTCTCAGCACCTGGAGCACCCTTTCCGTTCTTCCTCACCGTGAGGCAGGCCCCAGCAACTCCTCGGGGGGTGTCTCTCACCAGCCGGTCCCACTGCCAGGGGGTCGGGGTGCAGTCCCGCCTATGACACAGTTTTCATGTTACTGGGCCTCCGGTCTGGCTCCCCCACTGGCCAGGTATGTGGTCACAAGCAGGTCCCTCCCCCTCCGAGCCTCAGGCACCCCATCTGTGAAATGAGTCCGGCCCTCATCGGGTGGAGTGGTTCCAAGGAGACACAGAAGGAAGCCTTCCTATAGGGGCTCGGCCCACAGGAAGTGCTCAGTATCAATGAGGCACCTGTACTCCTTGGGGATCCTGGGCCTGGAGGCGGAGCCAGGTCTGGGGGGGGAGGGGACAGGCTGAGGGGGGCAGAGCTGAGGCCTTGAGGACAGGTGGCCCCCACCACCAGAGGCCTTGGGAAAAGGTGGTTTGGATCCCGGCCCCGGTTCCCACGTCCCCCTTACCACTTCCTCTGAGGCCACCTGGGTCCAGCTACCTGTGCGAGCGAGGCCTCCCTGCCTTCCCAGCGCCTCCTGAACTCCCTCCATCCCCCCCACAGAAGCCTTGGGCCCCCATAATGCAGAGCACGTCCCCTGACCCCTCAGCTGAAACCCTCCCTGGCTGCCCGGCCCCCTGGACAGCCTCCCCAAGGCCACAGGGTCTTCCAGCCCCGGAAGGTGCAGACTCACGGCGGCCGGAAGAGCCTCCTTCCTTCCTGTCAGCTGGTGTCAGCCCACTGTCGCCCCTGCCTGCTGCCCAACACTGACCACCTGCACGAACCTCTCATTATGAAGGAGCCCCACTTGTTTGCCACCCGTGTGCCCAGTGGGTGCAGCTCCCCAGAGCGGGCCTGGCCATACCCTTCACTACGGGGTCCCATGAGCCCCAACAGTGTGTGCCGACACATGACCATCCCCCGCCCCCCACCAGCTGGAGTTTATCGGCACTGCCACAGGCCAGGTGCTGCTCTAGCTACTGGGGACTCCAGGTGAACGGCACAGACAGGGCCTGCCGTCCGGCTAGCACTCGAGACCCCAAACCAGCACCCCGAGAGGCAGGCCGTCTGCAAGGGAGGGTCTGGCTGCCCCGACGTCGACTCGAGTGCAGACTGGGAACTGTCCAAGTCTCTCAGCAAAACTGCCAAGTAAGAGGTTTGCTTTGGGGGCCCCTCCCCTGCCCTTATTCCAGCAAACATTTGTGGGCCATCGACACGGCAGGCCCGGCACAGGGTGTCCAGAAAGGAGCGGGGAACACCCCGGGCCTCGAGCCTGCGGTGAGTGGAATGAGTACACGTCAGTGAGAAAAATACAAAGGAGGGGCTGTACCTGCTCAGGCACAAGGACATTTGAGATGGGACTTGGAAGATGGATCGGGAAGGTGGTGAGCCGACGAAACAGCAAGAACCAAGGCAAAGGGGTTGGAGAGCCAGAGGTCCCTGCGTCATCAACGAAGGGTACAAAGTGAGAAAGAACAAGAGGAAGCCTGGAGAGGTACAGCGGGGTCAGATTATAAAAGGTCTTAACCCTTACCACTCCTCTGTGCGCCAGCCCTGGCTCATCATCTCCAGCAGTATCGAAGACTTTGGAACTTGCATTACTGTTCTGTCATAGACTGAATGTGTCTCCTCAACATTTATATGCTGAAAGCTGGTCCTCCATGTGTATTTGCAGGTGGGGCCTCTGGGGGGGCGGGGAGGGGAGTGATTAAGCCCTCAGGTTGGAGCGCTCAGGAATAGAATCAGTGCCCTTCTGAAAGAGACTCCAGAGAGCTCCCTCGCCCCTTTCACCACGCGAGGACACAGCAAAAAGCCAGCCGTCTGTAAACCAGACACGGAATCTGCCGGAGCTTTAAGCAACACATTGTTGATGATTATAAGCACCCAGCCTCTGGTGTTTTAGGTATAGCAGCCCGGATGGACGAAGACACTCTCCTTCACTGCCCACGCCGCCAGGGCCTGTTCCGTCCCAACTGTCACCAAATGTCCATTTCACAGTGAGGGGTGAGTGACTGCTAACGCATCCGGGCAGGTAGAAGACAGGTTTGTTTTGACATTTTCTTTAGAAGTGTGATTTCCGGGCTTCCTCAAACTGCCCCGGGGAAGCCAGTGAGGTCTCAACTGTGTTTCCACAGACAGCGGAGGCGTCCAAGAGACCTGGAGACCGACCCAGTCCTGGCTAGGGCCTTAGCATGACCCTGCGACCCCGCCCGCCTGCCCCCGCCACTTCTCCGGATCTTGGCTGTCGTGCACAGCACATGGGGATGGTGCCACCCGTGTAGGCTTGCCAGATTGAGCAAACAAAGCAAAGCAAAGCTAAACAAACAGAAAAAGCCAGATGCACAATTAAACTTTCATTTCAGCGACATGAATAATTTTTAGTACAAGTGTGTCCTAAATACACATGGACACAGTCACACTGAAAATTTGTTTTTTGTCTGAAATTCAAACTTAGCCGGGTGTGCTGTTTTTATCCAGTGACCCTATTTTCACCCCACGGGATTCTGGGACCAGAACTGGGCGATCACAGGAAGGGTGTGGCCCGGCACCTCAGGGAGACGGGGTGAAGGCGCAGCCTGCTGTGTGCCCCTGCACCCAGGAGAACGGAGAGCATGATGGGGCCGTGCCCTGCTCCTGGGCTATCGGGCACAGGCGATTCCTCCTGTGCTCACCTCCTAACAGGTGTACCCGACAGAGACCCCGCCCCTCAAGTGGGGCCCTGACTAAGAGGAGGCGGGACACCAGGTGTGGCACCTGCAGGAGCCGCCTCTCAGGAGACGAGGCTGGAAAAACAGCTCCACGGAGAGAGGTCTGTGCAGCTCATTCACTGCGCCGCACCTGCCCCCACTGGGCGTGTGAGCCCACATCGCACGCGCCTGGACCTTCTGGGGCAGAGACTGGGGATGTTCTGGGACTGCAATCACGGGGCCTCACGAGACCCCAGCCCGTGGTTTCTGGGCTCCGGACCGGGGATAGGCCCTTCACCTTCTGGGCCTCCGTTGCCTCACCTGTAAGGCTGATGGGAATAAATGAGACGTGCGACACACTTCAACGTGTTCAGCACAGTGAGCACCGTTGGCGCCCATCAGACCCACACCCCTGCCCCCTGCACAGAGGGGAGCGCTCACATTCCTCGGAAACAATGAAGAAGCCGGGGTTGAGGACTTGAGTGTCTGCCGCAGAGGGATGCTACCTCACAGTGTGGCCAGGGCAAGTCCCTGTCCCTCTCTGGGCCTTTGTATATCATCAGCCCCTTAGAAGGGCCCGCTTTTTATGAATCTAGATCAGGGGTGGGCAAACTTTTTGACCCGAGGGCCACAATGGGTTCTTAAACTGGACCGGAGGGCCGGAACAAAAGCATGGATGGAGTGTTTGTGTGAACTAATATAAATTCAAAGTAAACATCATTACATAAAAGGGTACGGTCTTTTTTTTTTTTTTAGTTTTATTCATTTCAAACAGGCCGGATCCGGCCCGCGGGCCGTAGTCTGCCCACGGCTGCTCTAGATGAATGTTATCAATGATGCATTTCCCCCCTTGGCAGCAAGAGGGTCCTGGCTCGAGTCTATGACTGCACTGCTCAGTGAGACAGCCACGGGCCACACGTGGCTACTTAAGTGTAAATTAATTAAAGCGAACCACTCAGTTCCTCCGTGGCTCCAGCCACATTTCAAGTGCACAGCGAGACCGCTGCCATCACTGCAGAGCTCTCCTGGCCGGCGCTGGCCCACAGGCATGAGACGGAGAAGGAAGCAAGTGGTGCGCATTATACCCGGTGCGGCCGGCCCCGCAGACACCCAGACAGGAGGCCGCCCTTAGCTCAGGCAATGGCTGCTGAGGAAGAGGCCGCCAGCTCTGAACGAGCCATTCTGGCCTTTGCCCAAGGACAGGAAAAGGAAAGATCCACTGTGTACCTTTCCGCAGTTTCTGGGCAACCAACCACCGTGGCCTCACACCTGGGGCGGGCGGTTCGTGGTGAAAGGGGGTGGGGCGTCATCAAAACAGCCAGGGACTCAGCAGGACTCCCAGGGCCACGGAAACTGCAGGTGAGTGTTGCTGGGCAGGCAGCGTGGCTCTCCTGCCCCAGGAGAAGCTGCCAGTTACCAGCGGTTATGCCCTGGGGTGGCCTTACCTGCAGGCAGGCCATGCTGTAGGGTGAGAGGGCGTGGCATACCCACTCAGGGCGGGGAAGGAGCTGGGACCCTACCTTCTTACACATCTCTTTTTGTTCACAAGAGCAATGAGTATCTAGTGCAGTGATGGCGAACCTTTTGAGCTCGGCGTGTCAGCATTTTGAAAAACCCTAACTTAACTCTGGTGCCGTGTCACATATAGAAATTTTTTGATATTTGCAACGATAGTAAAACAAAGATTTATATTTTTTATATTTATTTTATATATTTAAATGCCATTTAACAAAGAAAAATCAACCAAAAAAATGAGTTCGCGTGTCATAGGTTCGCCATCACTGACTAGTGCTTAAAAATGCCATTTATCAGCCTCTCTTGCAATTAGAGTTGTCCATGTGATCCAGTTCTGGCCGTTGAGGTATAGGACAAAGACCCCAAGGAGATCTACCCTTGAAGAAAAAAGGGCTTTGGAGAGAGAGAGAGAGAGAGAGAGAGAGAGAGAGAGAGAAGGGCTTTGCCTCTTCTCCGCCTTCCTGCCTGGAAAGTAGACTTGGGCTGGAGCTGCAGCAGCCACTTTGTAACAAGGAGGCAATATGCACAGGCAAAAACAGGCCTAGGAGAGAGACCAGAGCCTGGGGCCAGGACAGCATGACTCAGCCCTGTGCTTGCACCGAGACCTGGAGCAGCACCGGCTGGGCAGGGCTGCCTGGCAGAGGAGAGCCTTTGATGACCCTGCTGATTCCGTGTCCAAGTGCAGCCGGCTGCTAGGGGCCAGCAGCCTCTGCGGGTCTGTCCTGTGGCCAGCTCAGCTGTGGAATCTGGGGAGCGGGAGGAGGAGGAAGTGGGGACTGGGGAGGAATCCACACAGCGCTCCTGGCTTGGGGAAGAGGCCTCTGTGTGTGACAAGCCTTTTCCAGGCTGAATTTTTGTGAGCTCGCGAGGGCAGGGGCAGAAGGAGAAAAGGGGAGACAGCTGCTTTTGGGGACTGTAGGGCACCCCCGAGAATGGCCTGAACAAGGCAACGGGGGATCCAGAGTCTCCTAAGGCCTCCTGGTGAGCTGTAGGTATGTAAGCCGCAGCCAAGGTCCCAAGAATAATCATCTTATAATTACTGTGTGTCACAATAACAACTGCCCCTTTACTAACATTTCTTTAGCACACACTGTGCACCTGACTCTGCTGTAAATAGTTTACATGCCTTAACTAGCTTAATCCTCACAATAATCCCAGGAAGTAGGTCCTAGTGTCATCACCCCATTTTACAGACAGGGAAGCTGAGGCACGGGGGTGAGGTGACTTGACCAAGGTCACACAGAGTAAAGAGCAGAGCCAGGGTCTGAACTGGGCGGTCTTGCTCCAGCACCTACAGCCGTTATCCCCTGCACTGTATCACTTACAGGGGGTGGGGGTGGGTGATGGGGGTGACGAAGCAGGCATGACCCCCATTCTCACCAGACACCCGGAGCTCAGCCCAGTGCCGGGCTCTTGGCAGACATGCCAGAGCGGTTGGTGCCCAGGGCGGTAGAGCGGGACCGGCAGGCTTGGGGTCAGCCAGCCTGGACTCGCTCCCGGCCCCCCCCCCACATCCCAGCTATCTGACCCTTGGACAAGTGATCCCTGAGTTTATCTGAAAAAGGAGCCCAGACCAGTCCCCACGGCCCGTGGTAAACATAAACAGAGCAATCGTCTAAGTGGGAACACTGTGGAAGGTTCTAGATGGGGGTCAAATGTCGTTGTTGCGATCATCATTACAGAAAAGGGCAGACCTCGCTGGTGCTCTGAAGGAAGCCCTGACCTTGGGACTCCGACCCAGGAGACCCGAGCGGGGATTAAATGACAGCGGAGGCTGAGCCGGCCCCTCTGTCCCGTTCCCCACACAGTCTCCGCCCTCCCTCCCCAGCCCCCACTATGAGTGGAGACAGACCCACGAGGATAGCAACAGGCCCAGAGGTTGCAGGCACGAGGGGCACATGGGGGACTCTCCGTGCAGGCCAGGCTGCGTGAGGTCAGGGATGCAGGCCGGGGTGACTCCCTGGCTGCCTGTCGTGGGTAAGCCCACATCTGTCGGGGCCGGGAGTGCTGGGGTCGGGAGCAGCAATGTGGCCCTGGTTCCAGCCCCAGCGGGTCCTCGAAGCCCTGTAAGTGACAGGAGCCGTCACAGGGGCGTTCAGGCTGGTCTTGAATGCAATGGTTTGCCTGTGGACACAGAAATCTGGGAACCTCAGCCTGGAAGAGCAGCCTCGGGGGCAGGCCTCTGTCGGCCACCCTGGGACGGGGTGAGGCGAGCCCTGGCATCACTTCCTTCTGCTCAGGTGCCCCCTCAGGGCCAGCCCAGGTGCCCCCTCCGGCCTGGTCCCTGCTCGGGGAGCAGAAAACAGACCTCTTGGACCCCCTCTGTCCTGTTCCCCACACAGTCCCTCCCGGTCCCTACTCTGAGTGGAGACAGGTAAGGGCTGGAACTGTG